CTCGCGCGAGCCACCAGACAAAAGCTTGATCCAGTCTGGAGGTACCACTCCCTCGATTCAACAGAAATCCATCTAAATTCCTCACGATCAACCTCTATAATTGCTATCCCCTGCTGTTGTGAGTGTGTACTACTGAATATTTCAATCAGTCCAACACTGGGCCCGACACACATGGGGCACTCCAAACACGTATGCGACTATCAAATACTTTGACTCTTGAGTTAAATGCAATCCTCTTGAACATTATGATATGGAACAAGTCTTGTTCACTGCTAGTCTACTGTACAGAATGCAAGAAACAAGGAAATACCTCACACAGAATCACAAGCATTGGGTAGTAGGAATGCTCTTTTGCCTTGTCTTGGATACTGCTAATAAGATATGCCTGTCTATTCTCATCGAGGCCCTTACTTTCCACAGCATAAACATGAGGTGGTTCTTTTGGATACTACAAGTACAATGCCATAAAATGTAATGAATTAGTATTGAGACAATACATAACCATTGTGAACAGGTAGACTTACTAAGGAGATAAAAATCCTGGGAGAAAGGTAGCGGCATAAAAATGATTCATGATGTAAATTTACAAGCATGCTAGATATCAACATTTAGGCATTCAGCCTTGGAATGAAATTTTGCAGTTTCTCCAGAAATTAAGTAACACATGTGAAAGGTTGTTTGAACCAAGAGGTGCTGATCCTTCAGGTTTCATCCACCTTCTTCTGAACTTACGATAGCACAAATTAGAATGTTGTTTCAATGTGATGAAATGCAACCTTATTACTGGCTTACTGATTTCAAGACATTAATACAGTGAACCATTTCAGGAAAGATATAGCATTATTCCCAAGAATGAGCAGTTTCCAAAACAGCAAGATGTATGCATGTCATCAAGAAATTTAGTAGAGCAAATGGATATAATGTACCTTGTACAAAAGCAGTTACCACTCACGTGTATTATTTTTCAAATGGCTGACCAACTTAACTCCAAATAATTGTACAGCTATTCCTAAGCAAAAAAAAGATGAACGGACTAACAAGTAATGATGCACACATTTAGGATACAGAGCAAGGCAAATAACGAAACAAGGTTCTAAGAGAAACAAAGGAAATATAACCTATTCGAATTCACGACATAAAGAAAAACAATGTAAGTCAATCAGTTGAAGATCTGTTTCCAAAATAGAGAGGTACTCCCTCCATTCCAAAATAAGAGTCACTGGTTTTAGTTCAAATTAACAAAGAAGTTAGATGGGAGATATATCAAAATCTAGAAAGGTGGTAACCCATACAGGTTCATACCTGGGAGGATGCTTTAATTCCAAGAAAGAGTTCCACGAACTGAAAAGGAGAAAGCGGATATTGATATACGAATAAATCTGTATAACCCCTTTTAACAGAGGCAAGTAATAAAAAGATAAGGTGATATTGGTCAACAGTACAATTTTGCAATTGGATGCCACGAACACATGATTCATATATAAACAAGATCAAATATACAGTACAACCAAACTAATGCCACAACTAACAATTATTAATACTTGAAAGCTCATGGTAGGAAGACAGAACAGCTTTTAACCTAACTTGTTCAACCCGAATCATGGACATGCTGACAATTACTGGCTATCATATCATTGATTGAAGTTCAACGAGCCAAAATACTTATACATATGAGGACAAATGTGGGCTTCTTTGTGACTTGGCATACGAGGACCACAACTTTTCACGTCGCTTCCACTTTGGATTCACTAGCCACCCCATTGCCTCCCCTTCCTCCTCGCAACCTCCCCTTATTCCGTATTTCCCCTACTTACCCTTCCTTTTTCCCATTAGAAAAACCTATATTTATCCCTTTGTGGATCGCATCCACTATGGCCTCCCAAAAACACCCCATCCCTGCCACCACCACTTTAGCAGCACCAAGGTGGAAGTAATGTAGGTGTGGCTGGCAGTTATGTATTCGTTCAGTATCATATCTCTACTCCTATAAAAAACTGAGTTGGTGATGATGGTGTGCCTGCCATCCTTCATTTACAACCGTTCGATTTACATCCAACGCATCTGAGACAAACTATGTCAGTTTTGCAAAAAGACCCCCGTACTCCACTCCTCGTTTGTAGATAACCCCCTGCCTCTCACGTTCAGCCATCTCTCCCACTCACCTCATCTAGCCATCTCAGGAAAAAATAAGAAGGATCTAGAGAGGTCGCTGCTTTCGGCGCCCGTCTGCCCCCAACTCCTCTCATCCCTTCTCTCAGGCTGCATTACCGACCACCACCGCGACCCGCTCCTCCTCGCCATCTCCTCTGCCCCCTTCCAAATCATCCTGAGTTACATTCATGGTGGTCTAGAGAAAATAAACAAAATCGATACTCAGAAAATTATTCTTAAAGCTCATCTTTTACAAAGCACAATAAGTGTTATTTCTTCAAAAGTTTTGGATGCAGGTTGAACACTTGAATGCTTTTGTTTGCAAAAGATTTTTTTTTATCTATTTTGCCTACATTTACTATTCACTCGGATGCTTGTGAGCTCTAGAGAAGAAATAATATCCGAAGAAACTTATTGATATTTGTACACATGAGATTACCCCCACGTACTTTTGTCAAATAAACAACTCTTGGATCAATGCATTTCAGTGTTCCGTGCATTTGTACAGGCATCTTACTAGTGCAATACTATGAATGTCTGTATCAACATGAACTTACCACTACAGTGGTAGCATGGGTTGTTGGCTCAAATTAATTATTACTGGATAGATTAAGAGCAAATATCATTGATGAAACGGTTAAATTTCTACTTACAATACTATCATCTTAAAAAAAGAATTATCAAGGATTACATGAAAAGGTTATTAACAATAAACCGATTAAGCTTTTTGCGCACACTGCACTAAGTATAACTCTGTAAGGGGATTTTTTTTATGTGAACTGCATTTTCTCTACAGAAGCATTAGAGCGATTATGGCATAGATAATAATAACTGATCAGAGGCATCCCGACTCGGTGACTAAGAACCTAGCAGTTGATCAGAACTAACGCGATAAGCACTAAACATCCTTAGAGAACTAGTAGCTTATAACTAACTAATAACGAGAGGACTAACACTATATGCTATCATCGCCAAAGAAAAAAAAAACTACTATGTGCTAGGGTTCTGAAGCAGCAACGCGACCACCACTAACCACAGCTGACTTCCAGACTCAGCTGCTTCACAATCGATCAACCGCACGGGCCATGTAATTAATCGCAAATAACTGACCAATCGGAGGGATCGGATGCCGTGAAGCCGGTCTAGATGTGGAGGGGATGTGGAGGGGATGTGGAGAAGGCGAACCTGCTGCGAGGAGTCGTCGGCAGTGTTGGGGCGAACGTGGACGACAAGGTGGGGAGGGAAGTCGCAGTACACGCGGCAGTCTTCTCCGTACACCGCCGCCACCGCCTCCACCTCCAGCCGCACCTCCTCCTCGGCCTCCGCCGCCATTGCCTCCAGGGGTTGTCCACGCCCTCACTCTCGCCTACAGGCGGACCACAGGTCGCCTGCCCACGACGATCCAGTGGGTAGACGGCGAGCGACGAGGGGCCCAGCCGCCAGAGCGATCTGTGATCTGGTTCTCTGGACTGGGGCCACGTATGTTCTTATTTAATAGTACTATCGGCTTTGCGTCGTATACATATCTCCTCTTTTCCGGTTTATATGGCTCATCTAAAAAATTTGTTTTTTCATTTTATAAGTCTCAATTCTACTACCATTCCATGTTTGAATTTTGTGCTGCATTAAATCACCCGATGCAAGTAGTATCAAGAGAAAACTCATCAATGCATGTAGAAGTTCATGAAAATTTAGTGGTCATGCATGTATTCACTATAATTAATGCAACGGTAAACATAACTTTTTAAGAAAAATGAGCATACTAATTAAGTACTTGTGCAAACTGCAAAATTTATCTCACCACTCTTCTATCTCGATTGGAGAGATTTTAAAATTGAGCCTTATAAACCGGAGAGGAGGGAGTATGTTGTTTATGAAAAGTTTGCGTGCAAAAAAACCACGTGTGTTGCAATGGATATTATAAAATGAAGTTAAGAGTTTACGTGGCACTCGATAGTTTACCCACCGTCGTGCACAATCTGCTTCTGCCTCCCTCACATTTTCTTCGGTGTGAAACTATTGTCATGCAATGTTCATCCTTGAAAAACAAAAATGATACAATTTATATTTACATGCGACACTGGCCTATAAGTTTCACCATATTATTGATCAAATTTAAGCCACTTCCATATATTGCGGAAGCAATTGAGAAAGAAAATTATTATTGTGTTTGGATCAAAATCTACTACCTTTGCTTCCTAAGAAAAAAAAACTTTCTTCAAAATACATAATTATCACCACACATGTCCCTATGAGCAAATCTTTGTATAAATCTATGCAAAACCAAATCATTAAAGTTACTCACCAAGATGCACGATATTATTTCAAAGCAGCAAATGAAATATAAATTTGTAGAATTTCCTTAATCGAAGATAATGGGCCGTCCCAAAAAAATTAGGCTGTTATGAAACTGGGGTCCTTCTATGTCTTGCATATTCCATAATTGCGGTGCTTTTATCTACATATCTGCCTCTTGATAAACAAATTGAACTTATTTAGCCTATATGTGGAATATATTCAAGAACCAGTCACATCAACGCCAGCTAGCGGATGCTATGCATGTATGTGGTCCTACATACGCCTCGGGTACACCCGCACCGGCCACGTCAACTTAGGGCCTAGTACAAGCTTATCAAGTTACTCACCACTACTGCAGGATGCTGCTAACGCGACACTATGATCAGAGACCCTTTGACGAAGCTGTGTTGTGATGCCCGGGTATTCAGCTACAGTAATCCCCCGTTAATGATGCCACGTCACCGCAGTTATTGTTGTTAATCCCGCGTTAGTTCAAAAACCAATTCAAATTCAAAATTTAATAAAAGGCAAACATCAAGATTTTCGAACTTTAAAACTAAAATGTTCGGGTTGTGCCCAACGGTGCAGAAGTAACTACGGTGGAGGAACCACACTTTCATAAAATGTTTAAATACTATAAGTGGATAAAACAGCAACAAAACAATTAATAAAATGCCTTTGGTAATTTTATAAAATATTAAACTAATTTATTCTGGAGTAAAACTTTTTGTGGCAGTGCTATTCAATGCAATTTGAGTTATGAGGCAAGTTACACTTTTTACAAAAATCAACTGATGGCTCTACTTAATGCGAATCGATATATATAAAAAAAGGAAAACTAAAAGAAAAAGAGAAAACACAAAACCAGAAAAAAAAAGGGGGAGAAAACCTCCCCTCCCGTTGGGCCCCGGCCCAGCTGGCCG